GGCATTAGACCATTGCAGATGTGGCAGATGGATGTTACTCATATTCCCTCTTTTGGAAGGCTTCAATATGTTCATGTTTCTGTTGACACCTGTTCTGGCGTAATGTTCGCCACACCCCTAACAGGGGAAAAGGCCTCATATGTGATTCAACATTGCCTTGAGGCCTGGAGTGCTTGGGGAAAACCCAGAATTTTAAAAACAGACAATGGACCAGCATATACCTCTCAAAAATTCCGACAGTTTTGTCGGCAAATGGATGTTACCCATCTAACTGGCCTACCTTATAACCCTCAAGGACAGGGCATTGTGGAACGTGCCCATCGTACACTCAAATCATATCTGATTAAACAAAAGGGGAGTATTGAGGATGTTCTACCCTCGGTACCAAGAGTTGCTGTATCCATGGCACTTTTTACCCTTAATTTCTTGAACTCTGATGCCCAAGGCCACACTGCGGCCGATCGCCACAGTTTAGAGCCTGATAGGCCAAAAGAAATGGTAAAATGGAAAGATGTCTTGACTGATCTCTGGAAAGGCCCGGATCCTATTCTTATAAGATCCAGGGGAGCTGTGTGTGTTTTTCCACAGGAGGAAGAAAACCCCCTGTGGATCCCTGAAAGACTCACTCGAAGAGCTCCTTCACAACTCCAGAATAAGAAGGATGGAGGCCAAGTGGGTGATGAAGACTCTCCTACTCGGGATGATGGTTCCTAGTATGATGGGAGAGTTACGGTGGGCCATCATGTCTACCTTCCCCCTACCGATGCCAGTGATGCAGAATGCCCAGGTGTTCCCTAGATTTTTCACAACTAATAGAGAGTTGGGGCTTGCCTTTTTGCCTTTAGATCCTCAGATACAGAGTTTTCAGGATGAGAGAACCTTGTCATTAGTAGGAAGCTTGTGCTTTACTGTGATTTCTTCATTAAAGGATAATTTTATTCATATGGATCCAGAAAGATCTAATGCTAATCCTTTTGAATTAATGGAAGCTGTACTGATCTTTCTCCTATGATAGTGAGAAGGGACAGATTACTTTTGATTGGAAAGGGGCATTAGGCAACAGTCTGAGTGAGGGACAGAGCTATGGATCATCTGATTGGTCCTCCTCCAATGTTAAGTATACCCCTTTTAAGAGAACTAATTATTCAGCTGCCCTTTATTTGGGTTGTGAGTAATGATACCTTAGGTAAGAATCAGAAAGAAATAAATTGCTCTGCTTAGAATTGTTTTTATGCATTATGCTGGGATGCTATTAAGCACCCTTTTGCTTTGGTAATGCGCATGCCTCGATTTGTTCCAGTTCCTGTTGAGACGCCAAGTAATTTGAGTTTGTTTAGGGAAAAGCGAGATTTTGGGATCTCTGCTATTATTGTGGGCCTGATAGCCACCGCCACGGTTACTGCTTCGGTTACCGCCTCGGCCCTTGCACTTTCTGCCACTGTGCAGACAACTCAAACCATTAATGAACTATAGGCCACTGTGACCATGGTCCTAGATAAACAGGCCACTGCCAATTCTCAGATACAAGGAGGCCTGATGTTGGTAAACCAACAGATTAATTTGGTTCAGGAACAATTGGATATATTGTGGCAGATGGCCCAATTGGGATGTGAACAAAAGTTGCCTGGCCTTTGTGTCACTTCAGTACAATATGAGAATTTTACAAGAGCAGCTAACCTGTCACAAGCTCTGTCTCAACATTTATTACAGAATTGGACTTTTGAGTTTGAGCAGACACTCCGTGAGTTGAGAATGGCGATCCTGCAAGTGAATTCGACGCATCTGGATCTTTCTCTGATGGAAGGCCTCTCCTCCTGGATTTCATCTGCATTTTCTTATTTTAAGGAATGGGTGGGGGTAGGATCATTTAGCCTAGTTCTCTGCTGTGGAATAGTGTTGATGCTTTGGATGGTGTGTAAGCTCAGAGCCCAAACAAAAGAGACAAAGTGGTGGTGGCACAAGCACTTGCTGCCTTAGAACACGGAGCCTCCCCTGACATTTGGTTAACCATGTTAAAGCAATAGGTCGCTGGCCTCCCGGCTCTTGCACCCCACGAGGCTAGTCTCATTGCACGGGATAGAGTGGGTAGGCTTCAGCAGCCCAAGGAGTTGCAAGGCTAAGCACTGCACAGGAGAGGTCTGCGGTATAACGACTTTCTCCTGGGAGATAAGTCATCTTGCATGAAGGTTCTATGTCATGATCTCCTTCCCCCAGAAAAACGACATCGGACTGGTCAGGGCTCTCTCTGGGGATAAGACCCTGGAGAGGAGCTTTGTACATGTTCCGAATTTGCACATGGGGATTTGACCTCTATCTCCACTCCAAAGTTGTGGGTGTCCTATTGCTTCAAAAATAAATGAATAGGGGGAGATGTGAGGAGCCGCCCTCGCTATCGCTATTGCCGTTAGAAGATGGCGCTGACATCTGCTGTCAGTTGGAGTTAACTGTTAGAAGATGGCGCTGACATCTGCTGTCAGTTGGAGTTAACCGTTTAAGCTGTGCCTCTCCCGTGGCGTCATCTGGGGTGATGTGCAAACCACCAATCCCGGCTCTACACGTCTCACTCGGAGCTCCTAGGCTTATATAAGGGGCTGGGTTTCTTAGCTTGGGGTCTCCCTCTCAGAAGCTGATCATCTATCTCTCAAGATGCATTAAAGCTTTACTGCAGAAGGATCCGAGTGTTCTGCGTCGTTCTTGCTGGCGAGACGGTAGCGCGGGACATATACCCTTGCATCATCTTGTTCCTATGAATCTATCTGCCCTGTTTTTCAATATAACTCACTTGGCACTCAAATATCCATCTCATCTGTTATGACTTTTTAATCTTAACTTTTCAGAGACATCTATTTCTTTCTATTACATTTTGTAGTCTATATAAGCATTAGTTCATTCCATGACTTGTTCACTGGCTGACCACTCACATTCATTCTCTAGACTATAGCTATTCCGTGCCATCCTAACTGCCAGACTTTGAATATTCATAAAGCTTTCATATTCATAAAACTGAGCATTCATAAAGCACAAATTTGATGATGTCACAGAGTTCAATTTATTTATTAATTACACATTTTAAGGCAAAATTTGAAAATCCTATCAAATACAGTCATAGATGACAAGAATATCACATAGTTTCTTACTTTTTCATTTGTGTATATTTAAGCATTATCCAATAGCCTGCAGGTCTCTCTGAACTCTGCAGCTATGTCCAAAAACCTCTTTCACAGAAATGTTAGCCACATATTACTGAGATGTGTTTTCAGAAGTCTTAGGAGGACTTCTCTAAAATATCTTATTCTTTATACAACTGTCACTCTTATGCCCATTGCAGAGTTTGCCAACTGTCCATCACTAAGACTAATTCTTCTGGTTTTACACTGTACATGCATCCACTAAGGCTAATTGAAATATTAATATTGCTCTTCATGTATTTGACTGCTATTTTCTATGAAGACTATCATTAAGTAGTTAATTGAGACTAGGTCACTAACACAAATTTGGATGCCTTGACACCCACTTGGACTTTTACTGCTGTTGTCACTGCCACATACTTTCAGCCCCTAATTACATGGGGCCAGGATGGCCACTGCCTGTATTCTCTGCCCAGCCTTGCAGCACAGTGACAGCTAGTCCCACATCTGGGAATTCTTAAGGGGGAACATCAGAAAAATTACAGGCATTAGAACAGCTGGTACATGAGCAGCTGAATTTTCAACATGTATAAGGGATGATTTCTGTTTCTTATTATTCTTGTAATTAAAATAACTATCTACCCTAAATAATTAAATAGCCTATTGAAATAACTGAAGAACCTATTTCTATAATTAATTAGTTCTCTGTATGGCCATTAATATCATGACAGAAAGCTTATATATAAATAGATATATAACAATCCTATAAATTTTGAAATGGTATTTATGCCTTAAGAAAACTTTTAAAGAACTAATATAAAACCAAAGGATTATATTAGTGTCAATAGAATAGTCCCTTAATTTTGGTGTTTCTTCTGTCCCATACCAGGTGTCTCTTCTTACATGAGACAGAAATTTTGATCTTCCTTTAACAAGCATGCTTGGATGTAGAGAATGGCGAAGCCATGCTCCAACTCCAAAGCCAGTTTTATGTTTTAATTGAATTAGGACTACAAAAAAGACCATTTGCCTTATATGTATATAGAGAGCAGCAGAAACAAATATTTGTTCCTCTGATCAATCAGGTTCTTAACCCAGTATCTGACTCCTGAGTTTTACTAATAAAGGATAATTAGATAGATGCTTTATTCTCACTAATAGCTGAAGAGTTATGAACAGTTGATGGACGCTTGTTAGGGAAAATAGTTTTTCTTTAAGCATAGAGCCATTTAGTTCAATCCTGCTCCATTGGATGTCATCCAGATCCATGAATATATAGGCAGAATAATTTGTACTTTGAGGATTATTAAAAAATAAAAGAGGACGTGAATTTGGGAGAGATGGGAAGGAAAAATTGGTCTGGGATGAATTGAGGGAGGACTGAAGGATGAAGATGGTCAAAATACACTGTAAGAAATTGTCAAGCAATTAATAAGATATACTTAAAAATAAATGTGAATAAATATTTAAAAATTATCATTGAGAAGATACTGAATAAGCTGGTAAAAAAAGAGTATAGAGGAAAAGATTAAAGAACAGGGCCTCCAGGAAATGTACATTTCATTAAACATACTGTACATTAAGTTGTGAATGCAGTTTTTACATTTTTGAGATAATAAGAAAGGCCTAGTTTTCATGCAATCATTTACATATATTTCACAGAAATTGGGACTTCAGAATCTCAGAGATTTAAAATAAGAGTAGGTTTTCTGTATTATAGGATATTTTTCTTCTAACTTAAAGCAGAGAAGAAAGAACTATTAATATAAGGAATAAGATTGATCACATATAAAAAATAAAACTTGAGAAGATATTATTCGTAGAGGATAATGTCTTTTCTAGCTGTGAAGAATTTATACAAAGAAATACTAAGCCCTCTGGTTCCCTTTCCCATCGGATCTTGACACTGGTCTTGGTGGTCGTAAAGGAGGGAGATCACGCTGAAACTGGCCTCACAGCAATGTAGTCTGGTATAGAGCATTGAGTCATATTCATACATGCCTGCCTGGGCTCTTGTAAAGTGGGATAGAGAATTAAAGATGTCTGAGACCATTTGTAAAAAATAAAAATACTAAGTGTTTTCCACTTAATTCATAAATACTTTATACCAAGCTTCCCACATCTGTTTTATTCAATCTATTCATTCAACAAATATCTATTAGTTCTTTTCTACTGTAAATTCAGAGGAGCACTAAGTGATAGTTACAACAGATGCATGATTAAAATATAGCCCTTACTTTTAAGGAGCTCCTAGTCAACCAAAAGTTTAATAATTATGTTACAAAATGGGATGAGAAATGACACAGTCTGATATAGAGAGCATAAAAAAGACATTGTTCTCCTGAGAGATTGTGGATATTGGTAAAAATGGCAAAGAAAGCATATTGGAAATGTTACAGAATTATTATAGTGCTAAATCCAAAAAGATGATAATATAATCCTTGCTGTCTTACAGAGAACTAGATTCTAAAGAATAACTGGATGATTACACTTGGAGATAGTTAGAAGTTTATATTACAGATAATCAAGTGTCAACTTTATCCTCTCTTGTCTGTTATTTCTTTTCTTTCAATTGTAAATCAATAGGAACTTTACCACTTTACCAAAATGAATAATGACTTTAAGGCATTTTGAATTGTAAACAGTCAATAAGTGTTATAGGAAAGGTAATGATCTAAGTTCTATTTCTGGTGAATACAATTTTTGACTCCTTTTAGCATTGCCACTAGGTTTTCTTTTCCTGATACTAATAAATGTTCTCTAACTTTATCAAAGATAAATTATATATTCAGACTAGAATTACAGTGATAGTTATCCCCAGAATAGTATGTCCGTCACATTTAAACCTGACTTTCTAATATTAAATGAGTATATATTTTGCCAACTATGGAAATGGATAGTGTTGTAGCTGAATATGATAATTATTATTGTATAAATTTTACTTATGCACAATGAGAACAGAAAATAAGGCTGAAAATTAAAAGACAAAATGTGGAGAAAAGGTAGACTTTGTAAAATCTTAGTATTGAACAGTAACATACAGCAAGCAAGAGTTTTACCAGGTGTTATTCAAAAGTGAAGAGTAAATGTTATCTCAGTAAAATTTTGCTTCTGCTGTAAATAGAAACACACATGAATCTGGAGGTATTTTCCTTGTAGGACCACAATGACTAGGTTAATTTCCATTTACACCCAGAGTAATGTCAGAGACATCAAAAATTGGGTTTGTAGTTCCTTTTGGACCATTATTTTCTACAAACAGCTTGAGAAATTTTATATGACTGTATTATAGCAATAGCCACTATACCAGGTGATGTATTAACTCATTTAGTTATATTTATGAAATATATTGAATAAAAATTCTAATGAAATTATCTTTAATCTTCCTCCCAAGTCTGTCACATACTTTTACTCTTCTCTTTGGTTCAATAACCACTTCTCTTCACCAGTAGCTCAGAAGGCTCAAACACCTAAGAAGTACAACCCCTCCATATCATGTCAAATTTAGAAAATAGCTTCAAGCTAGACAAAACTGCAGATACTCTAATAAGAATGTTCACTTAGTTACAGAAGTTCAAAAGTGAAGTAACATCTAACTTTTCCAAATAAAATATACTACTACTGTAGTTAAAGCCAAAGAAGAAACCTTAGTGTAGAAAAATTAGGGGTTACAGTAAAAAGGTTTAATCCCAGGGGACTTCACTTCAGTACCTTATGTGCCATCACTTGTTGGCTGACCATTTTATGTTTCTTTTTAGGCCACATGCTGAATTTATTGCATTTACCCAAATGGGAAAGCCAATTATGTAGAATAAGTATTAGATTCCAAAGAAATCTTGAGAGTCAGAAGGGAAAATCAGGATCAAGACTAAACATGCTTATAATCCTAGCACATGACAAGCTGAGAAAGGATGGCTACAATTTTGAAGTCAGTCTTGGCTTCGTTTCAATGTTCTGACTGAAAATAAACAATAAACAGAAAACAAATGAGTGGATTTATAATTTGAATGGCAACTAGTCACATGTGCTTTTGAAAAATTCAGTTTATCTAATCTTACCTATGCCCTATTTAACCAAGATGTATCAAATACCAGCAAATTAAAGATGTGAAGAATAAGGTAGGTCACATTGCCTGGAATTACGGAGGTATTGATGTAATCACTGAGAATTACTCAAGGTATCAAGCAACCCAGCATGTTTTATTATAAAATTATATAGGACATTAAAAGTCAAAGAATGTGAAATTACCTGAGAGAGAGAGAGAGGGAGAGAGAGAGACAGAGGAGAGAGACAGAGGGGGGGAGGGAGGGAGGGAGGGAGAGAAGGAGAATGAGCTTTTTTTAGGCCACAAAATGAACGAAAATCAAGACTTATAAAAATAGCTTCTGTGTATATCCCAACACATTTGTGTCAGTCATTGTACCTACCCTTCAGTATTTTACAGATAAAGTAGCAATTATTTCTGATTTGCCTGTTATTTTCTAATCATTAGAGAAGCACAAAGAGACATAGGTGAGGTTCCCATGGGAACCATATGCTAGTGTTTTTGCCTTTCATAAAAAATTATCATCAGTATTGCATCATCAGCACTTAGTTATTCATCCATACAAGTGTAGGTGGATACTGTTTTGATATGAAAAGGATAAAACTGCCCCTACAGCAATTGAGCATGAACTCTGTGTTGTTTTCATAAATAGAAGAGATGAGAAAAATTGAGTCATCTCCACTATATTTTTCAGGATGCTTACTTACCAAGGAACTCATCACTTTCATAAGGTGGCTGGTTAGGTAAAGAGCAGAATATTGTTCAATCTCTCAGACATTTTATCAAAGAAATCTTGACTCAAAACAGACTAAAAAACTTTTAAATTATGGTAATTCTGTACTCATACCCTGACACACAGAGGAACAACACTCACACACACACACACACACACACACACACACACACACACACGTGCACACATGCATGCACATATGCACACACACAGAGAATAATCAAAGGAAATTACTAGGTAGGAGACTAGATAAAAATTGCAGTGTATAGCAATAGTATCCAAAATTAATACCTAAAATGATGAGAGAAGTTATACATATTGTTAATTCTTAGGCTTAGGCATCTATTACTCTCATGAATCTCATGCTTTGGGGAGCTAAAAATCCTAGCTGCTTCCGCTATGGACCTATCATTTCCCCCTTGAGTGGCTCCAGCTAAGTTTATAAAAACAGCAAGCATAACCATTACTACCCCAGCAGGTCAGTTTAGTTCAGAGTCCTTATAGCCATAGCTGGAATACTATTAAACTATGTCGAAGTCATCCTACTGAATCTTCTTTCATGTTCTCACTTCTTGACAGGTATCAAACCAATATCAATATCTGAACACTTATGGTTTAAAGACACATGCTTGTAGCCCCAGCATATGAGAGACTATGTCAGGAGGCTTGTTAACTCAAGACCTGAAAAGACTACATAGAAAGTTTAGTGTCACTGTCTTCTCCAATTTTTATATCCTGACCACAGTTTCTCCTTCTTTCTCTCCTCCCAGCCCCTACCCTGACCTCTGTTCTCAAAGGCACTTCTTTTGTAGTAATATATAGTTTAGTGCCTAGTTGAATGTCCCCAAGTGGGGAAAGAAAATGTTAAGCTTCATGCTGTGGGCACAAATAGACCCCAGTGAAAGCAATTCTGTTGAAAAATTTACATTCCAATGGAGTGACATGCTCCTCTAGGAAAAACAAAAGACTGAGGAATTTGATAGATATCTGGGAAAATATATCTATAAGAGCACAGAATTATATGGATATCTTAATATTTGTTCTATGGCTACAACAAAATGCCCAAGACAGGGTTATTCATAAATAAAAGACATTTAATTAGCTCATGGGTCTGAAAGCCTGAGTATGGTACCAGTTTACAGTTGGTTCTAGTTAAAATTTGTGACTATATCACAACCTAAAAAACTGCATGTAAGAAGATAAATATCACACACACACACACGCACAAAACAAGAAACCAGAGAAATTCAAGAGGTAGGTCTTTATTTTTATGAAAAGCTCAATTTTAAGGGAAGCTAGTAGGGTCAAAAAAGAACAACATCAATCTCTTCACAGGAAAATGCTTCCAATGACATATAAGCCCTAGGTTTTAAATGTTCTGTCACAGATCTTGGATTTAGCTCAGTGACTTAGCATTTGCCAAGCATGTGCAAAGCCCTAGGTTCAATCCACACCACCATAAACATGTATCACCACTTCTCAAGATCACATTTGCGACAAAACTCTTGGCACACAAAACTTTTTGTATGTAATCAAAAGTATAGCAGCTCTTTATTACTACTATTACACACACACACACACACACACACACACACATAGATAGATATAGATATATAGATATAGATACAGGTGCTGCTTAGTAAGAAATTAAAGGCTAATCAAAAAATAAAGGCCAAGGAATAACAGCCATAGAGCCTCCTTAGTATACTAATAAAAGTCCTTATCTTCTGTAGTAGAACAGATGCAGACTGAGACATGTGGTATCTTATTGGTAGGCTCAGTTACAATACTCTAGAACCCAGAATAGCCCAATCATGTTAACAAGCAAGATTAGTCATCATTCCATGTAGGAAAAGTGGCAGGAATTCAATTGATTCTTGCGTATTAGGCTTGACTCTCTGGTTACTTAGATTATCCAAAATATTCTATTATAGAACAAAGGTCCCGGAAAGCACATGCTTCTACTTATGTCCTAATTCATGAAGCCCCTTAGTGTATATTCTATCTGTTCCCTTAAAGGGCCTAACATACCTTCATTGAGTTTATTCTGTGATATAGTTGCAATTGTATTTCTCGGAAGCATGAGGGGAAAGTGGTAACAATCCTCAGGAATAGAGAATGGGAGGTTTGATGTCATATTCTTTCAGATGAGAAGTTTGAGTTGACCCCCAGGAGGCAAGCAGCCTCTGTCACATAATCCAAATGCTGTCATCCTCTCTGTCT